GCCCTTGATCAATGCATTCAAATTATTCCCTTCAGCAAGTCACTGACAATTCAAAGGAACCAAGAGATACAACTTTTCTTTGTACTGTGGCTTGCCATTTCGGCCTACATGTGGTCGTTTGCCAAGAACTGCGCGCATCTACTGTAATGCCAGTCTATTCCAGATTTCGCCCCACTCGAAACGCTTGAGTGATCAACGATTTCATCAATACTCTGGGATATATTCCAGAATTACTGTCGAATTTGGTGTGAGCTCTACAAACAGTGTTGCGTTATTAGAACGCAAAATCTTCAGGCGTTCCCCATGGAATACGTTTGTTGTTAATCTTGTACGCACACCATAATTTAATACGGTTAAAAGTTAAATGACACAAATAAAAATGATCACCTTGTTGACCATCAAATACAACGTTCATTACAATACAACTGACAACGTAAAAATTCTTTTTCGATGCTTGAACGGATGGGCTTCAATATTTTTTTACTAACAACTCGAGCTAACTATGACAACTGCTCAAAAGTAAGTTGCGCATGCATAACTTCTTGTTTAGCCTAAGTTTAGCATCATCGGCGAAGGCCTAAATGATATCTAAACAAACCCGAACGTTTGACTTAACACTACACTCTTGGCAGGTCTGTAAAATGTACGTACGAAACACGCCAAGCCATGTTGCAGTTAAGAACCGAGGAATTATGTGTCGATCAAGGAAAAGCAGAACAAACCTATACTTCCAGCCGGTCAGCTGCACGCTACATCGGTACAGTATGAAAGTAAAACAGAACACATTCCAAAGCTCTCTAACCTCATTCCTTTGGAGCTGAAAGAAGTTGTTGAGATAGTTGGAATTTAGAGAGGAGCTCAGGTCAGCAGCGGGAGGCTTGGTGTAGTTCAGATCCGGATGGGAAGAATTAGACTCTGGCCTGAATGCATCAAACGCACTGGTCTGGTGGGTGTCTTGTAAAGAGAGGTAGACCCAGTTTAAAAGCTGTGCAGGCTGGTACACAGAGCCACTGGTGTCTATGGCAGACATCAAGCTCATCTTTGAATGGATTAACTATTCGGCTCTCCACCTTTACCTTTAGGTAAACCACAACTTCGGTTTCTAGTTTTTAAGTTCACCTCAATCTTTTTTCTCTTTCTCTCTGTCTTGCCGCCGCGCCCCGAAGTGTTTTACGTTCCTTCTCTTCACCCCTCGGATCCTTCTGGGATCCCAGTCCCTAGTTTACGATTACGCAAAAGTCATAGCTTTGGCCTGTCAGGGTAAAAAGTTTGTGCAGGAGTCTGAGGTCCGCTATCTCCCTTTATTTGCACTGGAAAAGCCAAAGGCTCATTACATATTACAGAGAAACTAGTGTGCGTCACGCGGCTAACGGACGAATGGGGGAACTGTTTGCTTAGTTATTTATTCATCTTCGAGATAATTGGATACTATGTTGAATATTAACCACCATTTCTCTTCTTAAATCAGGAAAGGCTTTGGAACAGCCATAGTCCGTGATCTTTAGAAGACTGGATTTACGTAGGAGTGTAGTTATGGTGGTATACAAGGGGAAAACCCGAATTTATAAGAAGGCAGCTGACCATTCCTCTCAAAGAAAATAACGTTTTGTGCTGTAACCTAAAATATCAGTTATAGGCTGCTTCACATTCACTCCTCAGAGTTTTATTTAATGGTGTTTCCATGACATATGAAATTCCATTTTAAAAGATCAATGTGAGAGGCTGACCTTTCATTTTCCAAGTATAATGAGACACAACTGACAAGTGGTACTGATGACGTCCGAGATTTCAACGTCAGCCGTAGGTCTAACATTATATTTTTAGACGGGCACCTGGAATGTGAGATGCTGTGTCACGTGAATTCCTCTTACTAGCTCCAAAGAGATGGGTAGATAAGTGTCTTTGTTTATTCAATGACATAGGTAAGATTCCCAGGCTTTGAATTGTCTCTCACAACCCACATTCATTCTTTCATTTTGTACAGGCAGTAAAAACGGCTGTTCCATTGTGCTTAATATGATTTACGCAAGCTTTGAAGACATCATATTCCAATTTTATTTGCATAGCAAAATATATATATAAATAATAATGCTATATGTATGAAATTAATTCATGTGTGGTCTTTGTGGATTAGGTCCTTCATAATTTGATACTTACAAAAATGAGGGATACACCAATACTGCAAGGAAAGTCAGGTTTTAAGGACAAACACAGTTGGTCCTTAACAGCTTTCAGGAAATATTATTTTTTGATAGTATCATGAGTGCAGTGGTCATTTCAATTAACAAATAAGTTGTCTAAGACTCAAGTTGAGCCAGCACCTTCCTGAAGTCATTACTGTGCACAAAGAAATTAGATTAGACTGAATAGACCCCTACATGCTGATAAAGCCTCAACAGCAATTGAAGATTATGGTGGGCATCCAGTATGGCAGAATGACTGACTCAGATTCCCTTCTTTTGTAAAGCAGATACCCATCATATCTGTTGTTTTCAAATAGCTGTGGAAATGTAATATCTGTTTTTCAAATAATTGGTCATCGTGAGGGGCAAATTAACAAGCAATTCGAGATACAACAGAAAAGTGAATTTAAATGAAGCATGAACAGAGGGAAAATCAAAGGGTGGAGTAATAGGAGATGGATATTGCTGTGCAGTCCCAGTCCTGATGAACAGTTAATTTCATCTGTGGCAAGATACAAAACAGATAGATACTATCATCTATCAGTGGTTGATCCGGGGTTCAGTGAAACAAAGTTGCAGGAGATAAGCATGGACAGCCGTAACACAACACCCCCCCCGCCCACCCTCCCCGCATGCACACCCACAAACAGACAGACATACATACACCAGTAGTTTTGTGTGTATTTTTAATCAAAACTTCTCTAATCCGCAAGTTACCCCAAGACAGCGCAAGTAAATAATAGGAGTGTAATCAGCAATTCATTTCTTCCACTCGCTAAAGGACAAACCCTGAAATCTGCTTCCTGTTCTGGACAGAATTTGTTCACAGTTGCATAATTTCAAACTCAACAATTCCACCCAAAGTCTTCATTTAACATGTTCATTTCAGTGGTTTCAGCTGACCCTCTTCGCCACTGCTGGCCTCTCAAAACTATGCAGTTTCCAGGAAATAGCCTCTTTTTTTCCTGCAATCTGTGTGCTGCGTTCAGAAAGAGAAGGATTGTGTCCACTAAGTTTATTGAGTCACTTACAAGTTAAACCTCAAAGCTACAGAATATTGTTGCTCAAACCATCAAATAGATGCCTGTGGGAGTTTAAACCTCCTATGACATGGCATGCATATTTCGGAACAAAACAATAAGTGCTTGGGTGAGAAATATTTTTCTCATAAATGAGAAATAAATGAAATGATAATGTAATGAAATAAAAATTTAAAAGTACATAAATATGTACATCTTAAAATGAACTAAATATTGCATTAAATAATTTCTAGTGATTCTCAACCCGGTTACCCCAGGGTGGACACAAGGACCACACACAGTTTGTACCACTCACCTGTAAAAATGCTTCATGTGTGGTAGATTATCTACACATAAACACCAACATAACTAGCAAATAATAAAATATTGTATATTTTTCAACATATGCTAGACAGGTTGCTTGTACAGTACATTCTAACACGACCAATACACATATTGCATACCTCAGAAATATTTTACAGTATATTTAGAGCAAGAAATTTTTAATGTAATGCAGTATATTGAATTATAATACTGTGTTATTGTGTAGTAAATGCATGTGCCATTAATTCTGTGCCATCTTTTCAAACAGATTCATAGTGAAAGCATTGTACTGCATGCAAGACCTGGTTTTGCCAAAATAGTTTTCAGCAATCAAGTCACAAGGCAATTTAAGATGGTCATGGTTTTTTAGTTTATATATTTAAATGTATAATCAATTCAAATAAAACTATTTCTGCATGTCTTCATACAAAAATGTTTTCAGACCAAGTTTAGTACTATTGTGTTTAAATCGTGCTGTAATGTTTTCATCATTCCTTCTCACCCCTACACAGATTAATACATGTGAATGGCTCTCCCACGACAGAACAGAGCCTGCCATCTACTGGTAAAGTACAACATTGCATAAAACAATCCTGGAGTGTTGCTCTGTTTAGGAGATATTTGGATTATGGCCCCAATAAATGCTGTGTGCTTCCTGGTGGGTTTTCTATATATATATATATATATATATATATATATATATATATATATATATATATATATATATATATAGTGAACATTGAGATACTTTCTTGTGCCTAATTAATCAAGTCTTGCCTGCACATAATATATTTTCTTACTCTGGGAAAAATACAACACATTACATTGCGCATTGCGTGACTTTGCATAAATAATGTATTAATTTCATTTACTACAGACTAGTTATGTTATCTTTGATATATTGAAAGATATCAGCGATAGAAAACTGCAGTAAAATTTCAACCTATATATAAAGTATGTTTGTAATGTTTCCCTCTTTAAATTCCAGAACTTAGTTCGTCAAACTGATCCTAAAAAAGAAATAGAAATAAAAATACATGAATTAAATATAAACCGCAATGTTATTAAATATAAACTGTAACCGCTATAATAATCTGAAATAAAAAAAAAAATCTATTGTAATTTACATGTACATCATTTTACCACTTGGGGGCATTATTGTTCTTTTTCAAATTTTCAAACAAAGGCCCACGTTCTACTAACAGTGTATTTTATCCATAAACACATTCAAGTAAAGGTTCCATTTTCCAGGACTTACTTAAGATCAGGAGTTAATAAGACACTTGATAAAAGTTTTCATTCAGTGATAAACACACAGTGATACAAACTTGTCACAATGCCAGTCTGGTGGCTGGCAGTAATAGAAATTGGCAGTAATAGTTAAGGTTGTGCACCCTAAAACAGCACTTACTCCATTTCTGGCAATGTTTTTCACAATGGCAGTAAATTTCAAAGACGGCGCTAATGATATGGCAGCAGTGTAGCATAGTGGTAAGGAGTAGGGCTTGTAACCTAAAGGTCACTGGTTTGATTCCCTGCTGGGGCACTGCTGCTGTACCCTTGGGCAACGTACATAACCCAGAATTGCCTCAGTAAAATATCCAACTGTATAAATCGATAACATGTAAAAAAAATAATAAAATTAATAATGTAAGTCGCTCTGGGTAAGAGCGTATGCTAAATGTAATAAGTCAGTATCTGTACAGCTAATTACCTAGCCCTATTGAATGCACTTCATCTGAGTTACCCTGGATAATAGCATCCGTCAGATGCATAAATGGAAATATGTATTAAATACAAAGAACAAAGCACTTTACAGTTAGATTGAATAGAGGCTTGACAGCATGATATATTTATTCATTTCATTTGTCATGTGTGTGTGTGCTGTACAGAGGAACTACAACCTAAAATCTGGTTTCAAATAACTGGCTCAGTATAACACAAAACCCATAATTGGTGTCAGAGTCAAGTTTCAACCAAAGTTTTTTCACATTGTTTTGTGTGATTACATTCTTTCGTTTTACATCTGTAGAGTCTTGTGTTATGTCAAACTAGAGATTATTTCCTCTTAGTGCATGCTTAGGTACTCATACAAAAAAAAATGCTTTTTGTCATTACAATAAATAACTAATACTCAAATAGTAGGTCACTAAATAAAAATAGGTCATATTAAAATGACTGATACTAATGTATGAACGCAGGAATCTCAGCTAGCTAGTAAGCGTTAGGATACTAAAACATGGCAGTGTGTAAAATGTGACAAATTCAAGACACACTTCATTTGCTAACTAAAGACAGATCGAGCAAGGCAGATAGCTAGACAAGTAAAAGTTCCTCCAGTACAAGTCTGTTGACTTACTGAGTACTGTATATGGGTACCTGAATAAACATTAGCTACCTAGCTAGCTAGCAATTAGCAATGCCTCAGTTTGGAAAAAAATGGTTTTAATTCTCTGTATTTAAATTAGGTGGTGCAAAAGTAAGAATTCAGACCTCATTGTGATCGTTTCGGTAGGAAACCCTGAAAAGGGCCTAAACCTCTGCGCTGCATAGACATGGTGTATGTCATGCCAAACTTTAATTTAGTGGATGGAATTCCTAACATTCTGATCACATTCAAACGGCCAATAGACAGAGAAAGACCAGTTCTTGTTTAAACAGCGAAAAAGCTCATATCTGAGTATACGCTTGTGTAAATGCCCTAATGGACTGAATATCCAAGGTATACCCAACAGTGTTCACAACCGACCAAAAATGCAATTGCCACCGGCAACCACCAATAGTCACTCTATACATAGTCTCACTTACAAAGGATGTTTCAGGCCTGGCTCATTCAACCAGCCTTACACACAATGCAGGTGGTGACACCTGTGCGTTTAACTGAGATAAACATGCACAGACTGTTCCTAAGGGCAGAGAGGAGCACTGTTTGCCCATTATGTATTGATAAATCCCTGCTACCTGCAATCACCCACTACTTTTAATTGGTCAACATTTGCACATACATGATCCCAGTTTAGAGCACAGTTGTCAACTGACATGTTGTCAGGGCTAACACACAGCTGGTAAGTGAGGCTACTCTAAGAATAGGCATTTGCTCCCAGGTTAATGGCCCCTCTCATCATTGTTAGAAAGATGATACCTTGTTTCCATATGTTGCATCATAGAAGTTAGATTGCTTTTTTTTTTTAGAAGGACGACTATGCCTTTTGTGTGCATATTTTAGTTCAGATAAAACAAAAGAGGTGTGAGGTGAGGAAAGCAATAGTGACCCACATGAAAATGTGGATAAAATATTTCACTGTCCCGACAAACTCCTACTCATGTATCACATACTATTTAAAACCATACATTTTAAGTGTATTGAAAGACTATTCAATACTTTGTTAAACAGATGGTGAACGTAAGCAAGGCTGTGCTTGTGTCTGGCTAACAGAAGCAGATGACTATGAAGGCAGAGATGCAAACAGATGAGCAATGGCCAATTACAGATAATTAGTATTAGGAGAATGGGGAAGTCAATGATAGCAGGGTGTGTATTAATAAGAAAGTGTGTATATACTGTATATTTCAGGCATATTGAATCACTGTGCTGCAGCTATATACACTATTTCATCACAAAAGGATATCTATTATTCTTCATTACACTATGGAAAAGATGAACTACACAAAGTAAACTGTTTGGTATTGTTATCCTGGAAAAAGAAAGTGGGCCATTGTTGAGGTTTGTGTGTACCCACTTTTCCAGGCTGAGTTCCAGTTGGAAAGTTTGCACCCTGCAGCATACACCCTTGCAAAGCACTGACAGAGGTGGTTGAAACCACTGAAATGAACAGAACCAGGGCTGAACATAAAGTTAGTTTCTGTTGTCAGTATGTTGCAGAGACCAATTTGGCGAATAGTATACTGTGACTTGTTTACATTCTATTAGATACACTGAAGAAACTCATACATTCCGCTACCAATTAAAAGTTTCCTAGTTTATGTTATATCATCTCTGTATTCATAATATAATATTTTGTCTGGAGTTATAGAGAAAAGGAGGGTACATGTGTTTCATGCATGTCACACAGAAAATGCAGACCTTCCTAAGGAGGTTAAAAAAGGTCATCAAACACATGAATAGAAAATAAAGAATGAACAAAAATACAACTTTAGTGTTCACTTTAAAAGACAGATAGGAAGTTTGTCTTTTGGCTTTATCTCCAAAGGACAGAGGGCAGGAATGAGACACAGGGTCAACCACAGTGCAGCGTCCCTGGAGTAGTTTTGGGGGGAAAGTGCTTTGCTGAAGGGTATGCTGGCTGTCTGTCACAGCAGGGATATGAATCTACAACCCCCCAGTTGCTAAGAAAGTACTTTAATCACTGCCATACCCTAACCACGAATCACTGCTAGTAATAGAACCCTATTAAGATGGTTGTGAATTCAGTTCTGCTAACACAGCAAGGTCTTGATCAATGTAGAGCCATAAAAAATATGACTTCATAATGTGTTTTACACAAAAGATGTGAGTGTGTGCGAAACCTTTGTTTGTCTCTCAACCTGAAATGCTTAGGTTGTGATACGTGCAGGAGAATTTAACAGCTCTATAAACCTGTGCCAGTTGGCTCAGTCAGAACAGAAGGACCATCTCAGGTTCAGCCCTGTTGGTTGGATTGAAATTGTAGTACTGATGGCACACTTGATTTTTGGGGAATCTGCAGGGTTCCTCTTTTTCCTGATTATCAATCAAAGTATCTAGCATCCACATTCCTCAAGTGAGGACTGTCCCTTTGAAGCTCCCTTTGGGATGGACAAGCTCTGATATCTGGCAGGTCATAAAAGATGGGAAGAGATTCTTTCTCTCTTTGAAGAGGAAAAAGTGGCAATGAGGCCTTTAGTAATGTGAAATGTATAACTTAACAACTAACATACTAAGATACTCTACACTGTGTATCATACAAGTTAAGTAAACAGTGATATATTGTTTCAAAATGATTATTTCAAATCTAATTGAACTGAGATGCTGAAATTGAAAGCAAGTGCATAAATGATCACTTTATGCACTGAAAGGTTGTCTTCATTGGTACCATGTGAATGAAAATTAAAGTGAGAAAAAAAGGTTGAGAAAAACTCATGACTCTACCTATGAAGAACTTAATTCCACAAGAAGTTCACTGTTTCTATCAAACTACCCAGCTATTTCTTTCCACTTTTCATGCCTGGGTTGTTTGGAGTGGTAACTGCTTACTTATGGATTAAAAATTGCTTTTGCATGTATTTTCTTCTGCAAGTATTTTCTGTATGGTGCTTTCACAGCTTTTAGACAGATGGACCCGAATAATAACACCTTGATTGCATCTTGCTTAATATCATAACCCTTTTAATGACACACAAACATTTGCCATTTACTATCTGTTTCAATGTTAAATTGATTCTTAATTTTTTTGTCTTTTAAATTATAAACTGCATAGTCACAAAGTGGATCAATCTAAGGGATGTGGTCTGTTTTTTCTTCATTTTTTTTCCAATGAATATACTGTACAGTAGCAGGGTACATGCTGTTCATTTATTCATTCATCTAGTTTTCTAGATTGAGAACAGTAACAGAATTAGAGAAATACTGTATGATCTAATGTAGAAACACTGTATGATCTAATGTAGGTCGCTATGCTGTTTTCTGATAATCAGTTATGACTTTGTACTCAAACATACTATGCGACTATTGAAACCTGGAAAACTGGAAGTGAGCAATAAAATGATATGCCAAGCTGTGACAGCAGTACTTTATACTAATAAAACATTTACTTACAATATTCACTTTTCTCAATTTAACTGTAAAATGCATGAATATACATGATGAGGATACTGTCATTTGCTCTCCTGTGTGGCAGCGCCATTGAGTAATACTAAAATTGTTAAAATCACACCTCACCAATATCATATTTTAGTTTAGCATGGAATAGGGGATATTCAAAAGGTTATCCTACATTTTAGCTTTTTTATTCAGTTGTTTCCTCTCTGGTTTTGGTCCAGTTCTACAAAAAATGATGTTCATTGATTTTAAATTTGTCAGTTTTGGCCCTTATTGGCCCTTATTACCCACGAGGTGGTGTGGAACCCTACATAGGAGAATACTTCCTAGTGCAGGCTGGAGAGCACACACGGTATGCATCTCATGCAACTTCCACTGTTTAACAGGGTCTAAAATGCCAACTGTCAACTTCTGCCCTCCAGACAGTATTTCAGGGGTAGCTTCTGTGTTGAGCATTCACACCTCTTAGTCATGGGGTATGCTATAATAGGTGGATGACCAATGTTTATACTTAGGTTGATAACCATAATTTTCCTAGTGTGCATCAGGATGAACTTCATAACAAAGCGAACGAATCATTAAAATCGGAATACTTTTCATGAGTTAGTACACGGAGTACACACTCATGTAATGTCGGTTGATATTGAACCCTGGTATGAGTGACTTCCTGAAACTTTTTTTCTGGAACATATCAAATAAATACGGTACGCAAAAAAGAAAATGCTTATACCGAGATTATTGATTTTTAATACAAG